GAGAGAGAGAGAGAGGGAGAGACAGAGAGAGAGAGACAGAGAGAGATGATGTCAAACAAAAGAACAATATGAAAAAAGAGAGGGAGGATAGGGATAGAGAGTTCAGCTGCTACTTACAACATAAGAAAAAGAGAGAACCCAGTTATATAAAAGTTTCGCTGTCCTCTGCACTGTTTTAGACGTATGTCAAGTTTCGTGTCAAGTGTCATTCCAGGTTTGTCAATTGAGGCATCATTGTATTTATTCATTGTCCTTATTGAATCTAAGAGAGAGAGAGAGGAGAGAGAGAGAGAGAGAGAGGAGAGAGAGCAGATCAAAAAATATTACAAAACTGCTAGCAAGTTACATGCAATAATACATGTACATGCTGCTAAAGCGTTAACGTATAAAATTTAAATTTTTTTATGAACATGCACTGTCATACCATAATGGCATGACAGTGCATGTTCATAAATAAATTGGCATTCCAATTATTATGAGTAGTGGTGGGCGATATATCGATATTTTATCGATACAAACGCCAAAATGGATTCAATACGATACCGATCGATATCAGCTCATATCGGGAGTATTGATACAGTTTTGATACGATATTTAGACCACACCTATGGAGTCACACCCCTTATTATTGACTGTTTTCATCGATGTTTTTATGCACGTGTATCCACGTGTGTGTATTATACATCATTAAGTTATTAAAATTTTCATTATTAATATTATTTAACTATAATAAACGGGCGTGGTCAATGTATCGATCCAGATTCCTTCAAAATTTCAATACCAATACAAATCGATACAGTAAAATATCCAGTATCACCCACCACTAATTATGAGAGGTGTGGTTTTACTAATTATATTTTATTAAAAATAATTATACCTATTAACCTTACCAACGAACAATACAACGAGTATAAGAAGTGAAGCAAAGAAAATAGTCTTCCATAGTGCCTTGAGGCCAGAGAATATGCGTATGCTAAAAATGTACTTCCATCTATGGAGAGAAAGAGACAGTAGATGAATGAAAAGACCATTGAACAATAGGGAACAGCTCACGTTGATGGTTTGAGGAGTGGAAGGATGAGTATTATTGTAAGGAATATCTCGGCGTAGAGAGAAAAGGCGACCACTTGCCACTGGAGTGTCATTTTTTGTCCTCTTTCTTTCACTTTTGGTGGATGATTCACCAGTTTCTAATTATGCGAACATGAGAATATTGAAACGTGTATCCATGGCAACGGATACTCCTTGCAGACTGGTAATACTGTGAACTGTCACATCTCAATCCTTCTCTGTCAGTTCATGGAGACCAGGAGGGACAGAGAGGAGGGGGCCCTTCCCTCCATTGAGAGGAGTCCCTCTTTACAAGAGGAGCTCCAGAAATACCATCAAAGAGACTTACTTCCTTCTCACATATACAGGGTTGGGATGAAGATATTTGGAAAGAAACCACTATCAAGAAAGCGAATCATAAACCCCTCAACAACATGGAGGGACCCTCCAGCCACAAGTGTCAGGAATAGTTTAATAAAGGAGCCGTCATTGGAGAAATCAGCATTACTTAGTTCAGCAAAGGGGTCCAGAACTGATAGCAATGTAATGTCGGTAGAGATGTACAAGGAATGGGTGGCAAGGAGGAAGGAAATGAGAAATATGCTCGATTCTATTGGTGCCCATGAACAATGGCTCTCTTCAAAAGAGTGCACTCCGGTTGAGGCAGCTTTGCTGGAGAAACTAAGACGAGAGAGGATAGAAAAGAACAAAGTTAAACCACCTCCGACCCCATCAGAGGTAAGAGGAGGGGCTCACGATTTTTGAGTAACTTTAAAAATTTGTAAAAAATCCAATTTTGATTGGAATCAGTTCAAACTTGCTGCACAACATAAGTACATGTATATGCATCAGATAAAGTTATAAAAATGAAGAATTCTCGCCTTGTCATTTTTGCCAAAATTTGACCCGAGACCCTGTACTATAGTACAGGGACTTTGACCTGATTTTTGAGCAACTTAAAAAATTCGTAAAAAATTCAGTTTTGGTCGGAATCACCTCAAACTTGCTACACAACATAAGTACATGTATATGCATTAGGTAAAGTTATAAAAATGAAGAATTCTCTCCTTGTCATTTTTGCCAAAATTTGGCCGAGACCCTGTACTATAGTACAGGGACTTTGACCCGATTTTTGAGCCACTTAAAAAAATTGTAAAAAACTCAGTTTTGATTGGAATCAGCTCCAACTTGCTGCACAACATAAGAACATGTATATGCATCAGAAAAGACTATAATAATGGAAAATTTTTTTACTTGACATTTTTGGTGAAATTTGGTCTGGAACCCTATACTATAGTACAGGGACTTTGACCTGATTTTAAAGCAACTTCAAAAATTGCATTTTTGCAGCTGAAACTTTCTATACAACATAAGATCTAATGATACAGTTTCACATTATTGTCTCTTCCCCAGACATCAGGGACTGATGATGAAGGACTATCTACTGCCGAACTGAGACGGATAAAACTATTAGAGAGAAAGAGGCTACTCGAAGACATCAACCGTCTTGAGAAACTCCTCAAAACCTGCCGAACAAGAATAGCAGAACTAGTAGTTCCCTACGATATTAACAGAACTTACCTCATACCATCAGAGCTATTGCTTGACTGCCTGGAAAGATACATAATACCGCCTAGCATACCATTACAGTCGACCATTAGACTGATAGAAGCACTTGAGAAGGAGACAGGGAAAGAAGACGGGGTTATTGATTATCGTAAACTTTTCCAAACAGGACTTGCAAGTATTGTCCTGCACCATAGCCTCCCAGACACTAGAGAAAGCTCTGATATACTAGTAGAAGACTCTACCACATCAGTTAATAGTAGCCGCTATAGTGAAGGCAGCAGTGATCTGTCTTCATTAGGCACTTACTCTGATGGCTCTTCTAGTGCCACTGGTTCATCTGTTGGTAGGACCCTAAGTTCAATGGAAGGAGACAGAGGAGTGTGGTCGAGTGAGTTCAAAAGTGATTCACACAGGCAGTTTGTGGCATTACTGGAATATTGTCAAAAGCAGGGCATTGTATTGGACAGGAAGCTAGCTAAGAGAGGTAAGAACACTTGTAGCATCATTATCATTGTTTTTTATAACATAAAATAAGATTAATCTTCATGATCGTTATTTACTGGTATATAATAAAATAAGATATTATAAAGTAGAAATAAAAGAAAGATAAAGCCCCATTACTACTAATGCTATTATAAATATGCACTATCATTATTAGAGTAATCTCTTTATTATTTTAATACCCTCAGGCCTGCTGATACCTCCTGACAAGAAGAGGCAGGATTGTCTACAGAGCTTACATCAGCCTGGGACTGATCTCCTCTCCAGGGCTACACTATATCCTCCAAAGGAAAACGAAGGAGAAGAGACAGAGAATGAAATAGATTACTGCTACGGCTGGCAGTATCAGCAACTACGTGGACCAACAAAACCAAAACTGACGAAACTCTCAACAGGCGTCATGCGTATAAAACCCAAAACAGACTCATGGCTGACATTTGCTGAATTTGACAAGCTGACAAAGTTAGTGGCAGACTCAATAGATCAGATTTTAAAGACAAAATGCATACACATTTTGACTTACTCCTTAATTCACACAAATCCATGTGTATGGTTGTATGTATCTATTGTATATTGATTTGACTTCAGTGACTTACTGTACACAAAATAACCATTGTTACCTTTATATTGTGTAGGGAGATACAATCAAGACCTGGTTTCAATTACAAGTATCATGGTCTCCCTTCTAATAGTGCATTTTGGCCTGGAGCTCTTGAAGATAAGCTAAGATTATATTTACCACAAGAGACTTCAGAGACAAAGCCCTGCTCTGTTAATACGATATACCAACCAGTTCATAGGCATAGGGTCCTTAATAATAGTGGTATAAGTGTATTGCATACTGAGAGAGGATTGTGGCCAGTTAATGATAGTGGATATGTTCAGTTTGGCAGTTCTCTTGCTAGAACTAAAAAGACTTACATATCTTGACATTGTTTATAAGTAATAATCAATGTAATTATGTAATATAACTTTATGTCTTAATAATAATTTATTTGCAAAAATAATTAATTCTCATACAGTCAAGTTTTTTCTTGTTTTATTCATTAATGATTACATTTGGAGATTTCTTTGGTGACACAGAACAGATTCTAGTCTATCCTTTCTCAAATAGTTAGGATACCTTTCCCTGCATTCCCTCTCTGTCCCTATCCACTTACAAATCATCAAAAAATCCAGCGCGTCCAATCTTGCTGCAACATTAAAAGTACCTTGTATCCGAGCTTCTGGCTCAGTTTGGCGATTACCAGAAAGAGCTCCAATTACTATTCTCTCAGAGCCTTCCCATGTATAAAGGGCAGCTCCAGAAGAGCCGTGCCAAGCGTCGCCTTTGAAATAAAGCAGATGCGATGTTTCGGTTTCAATTTTAGTTGTCACTAGCCACATTGCCGTTTTTGGTTTATCGTCTGGAAAACTGACAAATTTGATCTCCGAGCCAGTCCCGTGCAAACTGGTAGGATGTCTTTTATTGCAGAAGAGGCCACTAAGACCAGGTTTGACGTAACCTCTTGTATGACCAAGTTCCTCCGAGAGCTCAAGAACAGAGAAATCGAAATCGGCCCAGTTCTGATACTTATGTCGGCCAGCCCTTGTGTGGTTTCTCCATTGCCCGGGGACGTAAAATTTACTCACAAAACTCCATTTGGTACGTCCGTCGCTCTCGAGGTACCCAACTCTGAGGAAGAGGCGGGCCGAGAGGAGGTAATTGTTCCCATTGTGGACGCAGTGAGAGGCAGCAAGGACGTGTTTAGGTGATATCAGTATGCCGGAGCATCCAGTGGATACGCGGACTACAGCATTGTATGGTGAGGTTGAGCCCTGTGTCGCTGGATCAATCCTTACCCTATCATCAGTACCATATATCACTCTTTTGCGGCGAGCCCCCTGCTTCATAGGGAGGGGAGAGGATTGAGTATACACCAGGTTATGGCTTGGCAAGTCGATGGACATCAGTTCATGGTCGATCCGTCCTGTACCAACGTGGACTCTCTCCCAGGATATGAGGTGTATTTTTGTTGCTTTTTTCTCACTATCAGCGACCACTTGAAGTACGTAAATGGAAGAGAAGAAGAGGAACAGGAGAAGAGAGCTTTCTCCTTTCATCGCTCCTCTTCTTGTACTTGTTGCGTCTGCAGGCGCGCGCCGTCTCGCCTCAGCCACACCTCCAGAATTGTGCATAAATAATAAGTTTTTATTTATTGTTCAGTAAAACAAAAGACCCGAGAATTGAAAGTCATTTTCACCTTCCTTTATACACAGGAGCTCTTTTCTCAGCAAATGCCTTCAGCCCTTCAATACGATCCTCAGTTTTCAATGTCTAGACAAAAATAATAATTATTATAATTTTTATAGCTATTACAATACGTCTATGTATCAGTACTTGAGAATAACATGCTTCTTCAACCTTTAGACCAGTAGCAATATCAGCCTAACGAAACGGCTAATAAAATGGATGATATTGGGCAGTATACAAAAACTTACCTGCATTCCAAAGTGAATCGCATGCTTAGCACTAGCAATGCTGATAGGACTCTGTCATTAAAAATTAATTCGATTAATCATTAATAGACTATAGTCTATGTACTTTGGTCCCTATCTCTTTTGCTATTTCTAGTGATTTAAGAAACGCTGCATTCCCTTCATCGTTCTGTTCCACTGCATGTTCTACTAGTCCTATATCAAAAGCTTCTGCTCCAGTTAAGACTTTAGCTGTGAATATCAGCTCCTTTGCTTTGCCTATTCCTACAAGTCGCGGGAGTCTCTGTGTTCCGCCTACACAAACAAAAATGAATTAAATGCATTTAATAATATTTGATTAGTAATAAGAGGATCCATAATATCAAACAATTGATTGAATTTTTAACATAATCATTATGAAAACAGAATGTGTTTAATCCTCTCCCTCTCCTCCTCTCTCTCTCTCTCTCTTTATTGTTTCTTTAATGTTTTAATAAATGAGACTAGTTTCTCCTGGACAGGTGGACTCAACATAAAGTCAGCAAATGCTTCGTTGTGTTCTTCTCTCTCTAATTCCATTTTCTGAATAATTTTGCTCCGAAGAGAAAGTTTCATATTTGTTCGAGCTCTGACATCAGTTTCCATAAAAGGAATAAGAGAGCGACAAGCATATGAAATGATGTCTTCATTGCTACAGTGTACTTCATCAATCAGTCCTATCTTTAAAGCCTCGTCTGGTGTAAATACTTTACCCTGCAGTAGCATTAGTTCTGTCTGTCTGCTGCCAATAATGTGCTTAATATTGTCCTGAAATAATGGTGGAGCAATTACTCCAATTCTAGCCGCAGTGACTCCTATGCCAAAGTCTCCATTAGATGCAATCCTGTAATCTGTGGCAACAGCAATTATCACACCACCAGCTAAACAGTGTCCATCTATAGCAGCTACTGTTGGGATCTGAGAAGTAAATAACGTATGCCAGCAATCTTGAATCAAGGACCAATACTGGCTTAGTTTATTACGATCCGTATTAACTAGCTCTTCCAGTTGAAGACCAGCTGAAAAACTGTTCTTTACATTTGATGCTATTACAAGGCCATGAATATGGTGGTCAGAGCTAGAGATGTTCTTTAAGGTGACATTTAGATCTGAGAGTAATGATCTGCTGAGACTGTTGACTGGAGGATTGTTCAACTGTACTACTGCCACATTATACTGAGCCCTTTTACCAGCTATTGTCTCATATTTAACTTCAACTAGACTAGAAACTCTCCTGGAGAATGAGGATTGTAACTTAGCCAAGCCAAAGACCCTGACTGCTTGCATTTTAAAGGCGGAGCTAGTTAATAATTTATCGCTAGATAGGCGGAGTTAAGTTAATAAAATAAAACCCCGCGATATCTGACCAATAGGATTACAGTATTGAAGAGAGGACGCGCGAGTCCTAAACACCGTTGACAAGTGCGACGGGTCTCTTTGGCAAAATCACACAAAAATGGAACACTTAAACGCACTGGCTTCCATTTGCGAGTCAGCGGAAAGAATGCCCATCATTTCAAAGCCATATACATCAGGGACTCCACTGGTAGGAGGCTCCTTTGGTCCACAGTACCCTACAGCTACAGCAAACTCTAACTATCTCCAAAGACAATACTATGCACCTAGCCTATCTCTAGTATGTGCCACTCCAACACAGTACAATCCTTCCATGACAATTCAAAGTAGTAGTCACCAGACACCAGTTTCAAGCAATGGAGAGCAAACTTCCAGCCTTAGTGATCAAACAGAGAAGATGCAGACAGGAGCTACTCCTAACGTACACTCTTCTTTCGGGAATATCCCAACTGATATTCATTGCTCAAGCCGTCCTATTAATCCAGTCATGAGAAACATAATCAGCTATGCAAGCTACCTCCAGTACTTGGATGAGACCTGGCCTGAGAAATGCTCAAGGAGAGGAAGTGCAGTAATCCGTGCTTCACTCTATGCTCAGATTGCAGACTGCTTGAAAGGGGGAGCTTCTACGGCTCGCTTTAGGTACTGGGTTCGTAAATCAGGATTCTTTCTACTTGAGAAACAGCAAAATAATGGAGTCTATGACACATGCATTGCTGTACCATTGCATACCAAGCAACAAAACTGCAGCAGTGGCAGTAACAAAAAAGCACTGACAGTCAAACAGTATCGCCTGGTTGCTAAATTGGAGGATTTTCTTCCTCTGATTGGGGAGTATCACAATGATGTGATTGGACACTACGGCATCAGAAAAACATATCAAATGGTAAGGCAAACAATAATTATTATAAATAATAAAATCGCAATAACTATTATTTTGGCTATCAAGTTTTATAATTTACTTTCCAAATCATACAATGTACAATTATAAAACACAGCTATACAGCATTGCCTTTTTTCATGCAGATCCAACAAGACTACACCTACTTGCCAAGATCCGCCATTGCAAAGTTTGTACAACTATGCGATGTTTGCTCTGTGAGAGGAAAAAGAGTGAGACATGAAGAAACCTGCTGCATAACAGAGGCTCAAATAATGCTAGCAGATAGAGAAGGAAGTGAGGAAAAAGAAGAAGACGATTGCTGTACAACCCACAGAGCTTCAAAATCAATCCATATCCTTCCATCAGCTCCTTCTCCTGAAGGAGAGATTGAAATAACAACCGAAGCTTCAATCTCTGGCTCCTCGTCACTTCAAATTGAATCAAACCCACAAATCCCACCATCAGCTCCATTGGAAGATATAGAAAGAGTGAAAGCTACTACACAAAAGAGAAAGGAGGCTAGAGCAGAAGGTGGAGTAATGGAATCTCTACCACTCTCACAGAGTGAGCCTAATCAGATACAGCATTCGGTGCCTTCATGCAACAGCACAATGTCAGAGCCAGGGGTAGGAGGAGAGAGGAGAGAAGGAGCAAGAGGAGATGAAGGAGGAAGGGACCCATCCAGTGACCTGTATCATCAGATTCATGAATCAGTTAGACACTTGCTGGAAGGACTGACGTGGGAAGAAATGATCCAATTGTACACCGAGACAACAGATAATGCAATCATTGCATCACCAAATACGTTAGAGTCCGTATTGAGATTACAGTAGCTGACATAAAGTAGAACAGTATCAACAATAGAACAATAATAATAATGCTCTCTAAATGGGCTGATTATTATTGTATACTTAATTTTTAGCTCAAGATTAATATTATTTTAAAATAAAAAATAAAAAATTAATGATACTCACCTCCACCAGGGATTATTGCAAGTCGTGTTTCAACCAAACCCATTTTAGCATCATTGGCTACAAAACATAATGATAGGGGCACTGTGCTACCATGTACCTACCAGCTATCCTTATATCACAAGCAAGGGCAATCTCAAGACCACCTCCATAGGCTAGACCATCCATTGCTGCAATCACTGCAACAGGAAGCTCTGATAGTGCAGTTACCACTGAACGCATTCTGGCCACTTTAGGAGCCACTTCGCTCTCCTTCATTTTCAAGCGTTCCTTCAAGTCTGCCCCTAAAGAGAGAGAGGGGGAGGGGAGGGCATGAGTGAAGAGAAGAAAAAGAGTGCAGCTAACCTGCACAAAATGTCCGTGGTACATTGCTCTTGAGTATAAGAGTCCTTATCTCATTATTGTGTCTGACCGTGTGCAAACATTCCTCTAACTAAAATAATTATCATTCACCATCACTGTTATTACTTTTTATCGTACAATCATCATCATCATCATTACCTTAATCATCATCATTATTATTATTATTATTTGGTACTTGCCTTATCAACAAAACTGACTGATATAGCATTCTTAGTCTGTGGCTTGTTCAACACAAAAAGACAAGTTCCTAGATTTTTTTACAATAAATAAAATTATAATTATTAAAATATTACCTTTGTTTTCTCCATCAAGAAGGCGCACACTAAATTCTTCATTTACTTCTCCCACAGTATAAGGTCTAACGAATTTGAGAACACTAGAAGGAGTAGTAGTACGATTTATTATCCTAGAGAAGAAAGACCCGCAAGCGGCCATCATTATTACCGCACCTACAGGGTGGGGCTCGTGAGAAAATGGCGTAACACGTGAAGCAACGTGGAAGTGGATTTCTTGGGCTCTTTATATGGCTAGTAAGAAAGGACAGTTTGTGTACTCTAGTAATGGCGGGGGTTCTGTTGGAAGGGGATCTGCTCCTGTCCTATCGCAGAGAAAAAGGAAGAGGTCTACCAGCCCCCCGGATGGAGGAGGGGTGTTTACAAGCAATATTGACACCAATGGTAGTGATGATGATAATGATGACTTTGATATTGAGGCATTGATGGCTTTAGAGCAGTATGAGCAATCACAGAGGGACCCTGATGCCATGAGCCCCCCTAAGATTAATAATACCAGACCCGCTCCTCTAATGCCACATTCACAGCCGCTCAATCTTGTTAGCTCATTTCCAATGCATGTAGACCCTCCCAGGCTGGCAGCACCTGTCCAGACCCATCGACCACTCAATATTACGAGACCCAGTCACCCACTCAATATTACCATGCCTAGACCTGCTACCAGACCCCTTGCTAATATTACTGGACCTACTGCTAATATTACCAAACCCCCTGCTAATATTACTCGACCTATTGCAGCCTCTGGGACGTCTATTAGTGCAAAATTAGACCCCCCAGCTCTGCTAACACTACAAAATAGACAAGGTTATCCATACGAGTCTTCATACAATCATCCTTCATCATCTTCTCAAGTCCTACCAGCAGCTGCTGTGTCTGACAGTAAAGGAGAAACCTCCACTGATGATAAGATACTAGCTATGGACGGTGAAATTAAGATACTCCGACAGAAACTACACGATCGGGATCAGGAGTACTATAACATGTTGAACACTCGATCTGTGGAGAAAAAAGCCCAAGAACAAGAACAGAAGAAAGAGATGGAGTCACTAAAGGTCCCCCTCCCCTCTCTCTCTCTCTCTCTCATTTCCTTTTCTTTCTCTCTCCTCTTTCTTCCATAAGACTCTCTCCTCTTTATTATATTTTCTATCAAAATATATAATTTTCTTTATTATAGTTTCTCTCTCCTCTTTATTATATTTTCTATCAAAATTAGATTCAATTTCTTAAAAATCTAATTTTGATTGGAACTTGAAAATGTATTAAAAACTGAGTGTTCTCATATTATACTTTTCTATTGTTTTTTTCTACAGTCTAATCTTGCTTTTAAAGATCAAGAGATAGCCGAGTTGAAAGAAAAGCTAGAACAAGTCAAACAGCAAAAGAAAGTTGTAAGAACGTTGGAACCGGAATCAAAATCAGTGGAATCAAAATCAATGGAATCAAAATCAGTGTCAACTATTGGTGGTGTTAAGCATGGTCACATGGAGTTTGAATCAACCGAAACATTTATCCAAAGTTCACAAGTATCTCACTCAAAAGTCGTCCCGGTAGCATCTGGCAAAAGGAGGAGGAGTCATTCTACAAGCCATACCCACTTACCAAAAACTGGTATGACAGAGATAAGTAGTATTGACAAGGGGTCTCAGACAGGTATGGATATTAGATCCCTTGCTCAGGCCCTTTCTCCTCCAGATATGAGCGGCCCACAGCTAGTTAGGCTCCTGTTACAAAGAAACTTGTTGGCTGTTCCTGACATCACGGCATTAGAAAAACAAGTTAATGATCTTGATATGCAGGAGAAAGAAAAGGAACCTGTGCAGCCACTAGGCCTGTTATCTCTTCTTCCTGGGTCAATACACCTCTCTTACTCCCCCTCCTCCT